TTCAATCAAATGACAAAATTTAATTAATCCCTAATAGTACCTACAGCCTCAAAAGAAATCAGATTGGCAGAGATCAATAAGGGAGATAAGAAACAGTAAATATATAACACTTGTAAATCAGCAGTTTCTCCTAGTATGTGGGTAAGCAAGAGTAACCCGTTTAACATCTCAAAATACTATCAAAACATATTTAAATCTCGATCCATGCCAAACACCAAGAAATATGAAAAACCGAAGTCACTTTCACAAATAATATTTCATCCAAAAGTATTTTCTTACAGAGAACCATTTATTATGAATCAAATAGAGGCAAAGGTAGCTAAAATTAGGTGCAGGATTCGGCCTTATCAATTTATTATTGGGCTCTAAGGGGGCTAAAATTAGGTAACATTGGTCTAATCTTTGGTGATCTAATGGTGATCTAATGGCGATCCTCTTGAATGGGTATGGTAAATATAATGATTTGAATTCAAATCTTAACCCTACTCCCCTTCCCTTACAAATTCCTTCCGTTTAAAAAAAAAAAAAATTAGGTAACATTGAAGCATTTTAGTGATATAAATAATTTAAATATTTTGTTTAAGGGTGAGCATGATTCGATTTGAGTGATATGTGAGTTATATTTAGGATTTGATTTAAAAATTTTTTGTTTAATTTTTTAGATTTGTTATATACCTAAATATTTAAAGAATTATATTGAGTATTTAATTCAACAGATAATAAATAATTTATTAATATATATTTATATATTTAGTTTAAGAAAAAAAGACTTTATATGAATTAGTATTACTATGCGTGATATATGTTTTGTTTAGAGTTTATTTTTTTTTAATATTGAATCTCGATATCAAAAAATCATATTACATCTCAACTTATCCGAAATAAAGTTGTGTTGATCTTATAAGAGGAAATTCTTTTAACATTTGTTTTTTTATTCACAAATTTTGAATTAAAGCTCATTCCATTTGAACCAACAAATCATTGGTTAGGGTTTGTTAGCAAAAACTCATTTTTTAATTAATATTTTCAAAAATTAACTATTAAATTGAAAGTTTTATTTATGTGAATTATACATGTCAATTTTTATATTGATTTAACACTTATTACTCTTTAATAAAAAAAACTCTATTTACTGACATATATTTGATAATATTAAATTTTCGATAATCAATGAAGTGACATACGAATAAAATTTTCTATTTAACTGTTGATTTTTAAAAATATTAATTAAAACATTTCCGACCTATTGAACCACCTCCCCTCGTTTACTTCAAATTAAATATGATATTAGTATTCACTTGAATTATTATTTTGTGATGTGGTTGTAATTTTTTTTCTACTATTCCAAAAATATAAAATTTAATTAAAATTACTAAAAATATATAAAATATTAGTTGAAATTAATTTTTTATAATAATTTTACAATTTTAAATTAAGTGTCGTGTGAAGAAACGCCGACACCCAAACGAAGCCTTGCTCAAATAAATGCTTGCAATCCAATTTCTTCTCGCATCTTGTATACATACTATCAAGACTTCAATCATCACTATTTGGATGTTGAGAAGTAAAACTAGGAACCTGAACAGAATTAAGAGGGTGACTAAATTTACAACCCGAGTTTCTTTGGTCTCAAATAGGTGGAAACACCCTTTCTCAATCCTGGCATTGAAACTTGTTGCTGCTGCTTTTCCCTCTTCTCTCTTTCCCTCTTCTTGTTTTCTTTCTCTGCCTCAACTTGCTCCTTCCTCAAATTTTCCATCTCCTCCTCCATTGCAGTTTTCTCTTCCTTCTGCTTTTTCTTATGCTCCAACAATGATGTATCTGACTCCTTCACAGAGAAGAACATGGGTCCCAATTCGGCCAACCATTGTGGCTCCACTGCTGTCACACACTGCATGTACTCCTTTGTAGTCAAAATCAATTCATGATAAACCACGTACTCCGGTGTATCACCCAAGCCATATAGGGCGCTGCTGGGATGCAAATGGCAAGGCATTCCATTCCTGGCATTCACATACTCTCCTACACCCTTCAATCTTGCAGCATTGTGAAAGTATGCAGAGCAGATTGCTTTTCGGATAATGTCCCAATTTAGTCCACAAGAAGTAAGAGGGATTTTCAGAGTCTTTAGAATATCTAGCAACTGAGATCTCACTTCTCTGGCCTTCCTTAAACCTTTAACATGCAAAAAATGATCATTACACCAATCTCCCCGATACTGGTTTGATTTCCATTGCTGGTAAACATTAAGCAGTGTCAAGTGATCAGATTCTGGCACAAAAAATTTTTCCCTTGCCAAATCACTCTCCTCTGCCCTATCCTTTGGCCGGAAAAAAACTGATGGCACTGAAAGCATTGAAACAATTGTCAAAACCTCATCTAAGCATCCTAGCTGTTCACCCATCAGGAGCATCTTAGCAAGGGGGGGATCCAATGGAAACTCCACCATTTTCCAGCCAATGTCAGTTAGGCCTCCAACATTATTAAGTGCACCCAAGACCCATAACTGGTACATAGAATTAAGGATGTTCTCTTGTGGAGGTGGATCCATGAAATCAAAATCTAGCAAGTTATCTATTTTAAGTGACTTGAGCAACAGCACCACATTGCCAAGGTTAGTTCTCTGAATCTCAGGCACAGGACTAGGCAGCATTTCATTTAAGTATGCATTCTCAGTATAAAGCCTATAACATGTACCAGGCCCAGTTCTACCAGCTCGTCCCGCACGCTGGTCAGCAGCAGCACGACTGACAGGGAAAACTTGAAGAGCATCCATACCCATCCTAGGGTTGTAAACTTTCATTTTACCATAACCTGTGTCAATAACGTAAAAGATACCATCCACAGTCAAAGATGTCTCAGCAATGTTGGTGGCAACAATACATTTGCGAGCTCCATCTTCAGCCTTCTGAAATATCTTTGCTTGCAAGTCAGCAGGCAACTGGGAGTATATCGGAAGAATTAGAAGTTTAGGAACTGCCTTCTTGGTGGAGGAGATGAGCTGTTCCATTCTTTCTGCAAGGGCATAACAGGCAGCTTCAATCTCATCCTGACCAGTCATGAAGATAAGTATGTCACCTGGCGGACTAGTGATATGAATTGTCATGGCTTGCTTCACTGCAGCTTCAACGTAGTCCTCACACGGGGTCTTACTATACAATATATTGACTGGAAATGTCCTCCCAGGGATGTGGAAGATAGGGACACTGGAAAAAAAATTGGGAAGTTAATAATTATAGCATGAAATGTATCACCTGTAATATAGTAGTGGACACTTAAAGCTGAAATATACCATAATTACCTTCCAAAGAAATTCGAAAATTTCTGTGCATTTAGAGTTGCAGATGTCACAATGAGCTTAAAATCACGACGCTGTGCAACCACTTTCTTTAGTATTCCAAACAGTACATCTGTGCTCAGAGATCTCTCATGTGCCTCATCCATGACAATGACACTGCAGTAATACACAATTTGAAGTAAATAACATAACTTTGATCAACAATAAGGCCAGTAAACATATAGTTTTCATAATCAAAGAGACCACCATGTAAGAATACACAGAAACATAAAATTAAAATTTCACATACCGATACTTGTCAAGATCTGAATCTTTCAATGTTTCACGTAGAAGAACTCCATCAGTCATGTACTGCAAAATACAGAAACTCCAAAAGTTTACAAACAACATTTTGTTATTGGAAAAAGCCACATTAAAGATGGGACATTCTGTCCAACCAACTCGGTGCAACTAAAGAATGAAGTTAAACTCAAGTTCAATAATAAAAACCCAGCCAGGCTGCAAGGTTGAAAAGAGTAATTAGTTCACTAATCTTAACATAAAATATGTAGAAACATTTTTGGCCCAAAATATGTAGAAATTTTAAATCAGCAACATTAGAACTAAAAGTATCAGGAAGACTTTTAACATCAGATTTCAAATACAAACAGAAGTGCTTACCTTAATTATGGTGTTTGGCCCAGTTACATCTTCAAAGCGAATTGCATAACCAATTTTATCACCTAACTCCGTTTCCATCTCTTCGCTAACTCTTTTTGCAACACTCATGGCTGCCACACGCCTAGGTTGGGTACAACCAACTATACCATTCTTAGTGTACCCATCTTCATGAAGATACTGTGTAAGTTGAGTTGTTTTTCCAGAACCAGTTTCTCCTACAACAACTATTACTTGATTTTCTCGAATTACCTGTCAACAGTTAGACAAAATAAGAATCACAAAAGCATAGCTGAAGCACCACCCACCTAATAATATTTAACAAATCAGTCAACAAAATAAAACACTAGAATTGCTATCATTCTCATCTCAAAACCCTCCCAATCCGTTTCCCCCCTTGTTCTATGTGAAAATGACTAAAGGAGCCCAATTACACAGATCTGGGAAAGAAAATGAGCAAGAAAATGGATAGGGGAGCATATTCATTTGAGACAGCTGTAATTGCTAGAGGAAAGTTCCACAATGCAAAAGGTGCTTAACAAAAGTGGATAATCTAAAAACCCAGCCTTCTATTCACACCAATCCTGAAATTTTGACAGTCTACAACATAAAAACAAGTGGGGCATGCGAAGTTTTCACAAAACTCAATGGTAAACTAAAATATAGGGATGGGAAATAGTCAAACCTGCAGTAAATCATCTCGCACAGAGTATATGGGCAGGTACTGTCGTTGTTCTGCTATGGTTTTGGATGTTGCAAATTCACTTACAGCTTCTCCCTTCTTCATATGCTGTGCAAATTTTGCGTCTTCCTTGAAATCAACTTCACCATCTTCACCTACGTTAGCTGTGTCTGCATCAATCTAAATATCCAAAACATAAAAGTCAATTAGGATATATGAATTATATTATTATGAGAAAAGGAAAAATCAGGACGCCTTGGCATTTAAAATGCAGGATGTCCAATCACAGCCATTAAATATGTGAAACATAATGTGGGCCCTAACTGTATCAACTTCATCATGTGGCTATTATTGGACATCCTAGCAATTCTTGATTTTCCCTTTTCCCTATTATTATTTATTACCAAAAAAAAAAAAAAAACTAAGTTAACAAAATTATATATAAATCAATATATTTAACAATACCTGTTCTGCTGTTTTTTCAACACCAAGGATATCACCAAGCTTTGAGCCTGCAAGCTCCCAAAAACGTTGGCGTGATTTATTCATACTTTGTTTCTCATGAATTTCCCTAACCAGGGTAGATCCTTTGCGTGAAATTATAGCCATGTCTGATGTAGGATCTTTTATAGGCATTATTGGCTCAGCTTGTTTGGTAAAAACAACTCTTCCATCCAAGAAAGGAGGTTTTGTATCTGTGACAATATTCATTAAAGAAATTTTAGTTAAAATGATTAAGCATTCATCTCATTCTCGTATCAAAGAATCCATAAACTGACACAACTCTTATCATAGATTTCACTTACCATGTACAAGTAGAATAACCTTGCGCTCCTCCTCAGTATCAAACTCAGTTTCTACCTCAGTACCTCTTACAGCTCCAGATCTTAAAAGTTGTCTATCTTCCCACTGAGCATTATCAGCTGTTCGCTGAGATAACTTTTTGCTCTGAGCAAGTGACATTCTAGTTCCATCCCTTCGAACCTGTTTAGAAGATGGAACGTGCAATTACTAACCAAAAAATTCATATTAAATGACAAGAACAACTATCAACAAACTAATCTTATTTGATAACAGAGTGACTCTTAAATTTGAAGGGTAGCCAGAAGTATCAAGCAATCTCAATGTCTATCAATCTTGAAGGATATGAAAACAAGTGGATTGATGTATGCATATTCCATACATTTAACACATGCAGACTCTATACTTCAGAGTACTTCTACAGCCTACACTAGAGCAACTAACTTAGGTAGTAATATTGTCTTAATTATGCCGAATAATACAACAAACAGTTAAGTAATATTACTGCCTTAAAATAAGCAGACTAAAAGTTTTAAAGTACCTCTACATTAAAACACACTTAACTATGAGTATTGTGTCATAATATGAACACTCTTTGTTTTAAGTACCTCTACACTATAACAAAACAATTAAAACATACCAGTCTTTTGGCCATCTCTGCCTCCTTCTTTTGAAAAGAAGCTTCATCACCAAGGAAAATTGATGAGCTATCACCATCAAACATGGTACTTCCTTCTTCTCGATCATACCTGTACAGCAATATTCACATCAGCAGAGGAAATGTTACTTTGAAGCAGAAGAACACATGAGGAACACAAATAAAACCCATGATTGAATCCAATAAACAAACAGGCACACATTTAACTTCTTCTGTAAAAGAGTTAATACTTAAGAACAAGAGGAGATTATACAGTCCTTTTTCCAAAAAATGGTATACATGAAAACTAACATTTAAAAAACAACTATAAGAACAATTTCAGCTCGACTTAAATGAAGAGCATGATCAAAACCAAAATTGAATTGAGCTGACAGTGAATATGTTTTTCCTTAGCTGCTAAATTCAAATATACTTCAAATTCACCTTATAAATACTAGACTTTTGCCCATAAAGAAGGAACCACACTATATTGGATAAGTATAACATATAATTACCATGCACGGTCAGCATTATATTCCATCTCTAGGCGCATGCTTTCAGTAATCTCATGATTGTGTTCTTCAGCTGGATGAGTGTTATCAGCTTCTCCATCCTAAAACATACACAAATAAGACATAAAACTAACAAGTATAGAGTCAAGAATCTCAAGGAGAATGATAATCAAAATAATTATCATTGTCAATAAATATGCAATACAACTCTAGAGAATAAAAAAGGAAAAGAAAGTCAGACAGTTTACCATACCTTGAATGATCTGGAATTTTCCTTCGTAAAGGTAAGATGATGAGGCATGCGACCAGTTCTAGAACTTGATGATCTGACTGATGCTCCAGAGGCGCGAATGGGAACAGGAGAGGGAGAGGTGTAGTCCCATGGGGAAGCAGCAGAGACTGCATAAGTTCCAACATAAAATTATGAGTTCCAATTTTCCTTTCTTGTGTCAGAATAAACAAAGAGATGCAAGAATAACCCATACTAGAGTCACAACAAAGAATTTACATACTAGTGGAACGAGAGGTGTGGTCGCCAGTCCATGGGGAAACCAATCTAGCATCAGGTGAGGCCCCAACAAACATTGGGGATGGAGAAGGTTGATAGCGCCTACTAGAGCTTGAATAACTTCCTCGCCGTGGTGTTTCTTCCCATTCCCATCTTCCATCATCCCAATCAGATCTGCCTACAAATATGTCAAAATTCAGATGAGCAAAATTGTTATTGCACTTCATAAAAGATGCCCTAAAAGCAAAGTTACTAATTAATTAATTAATTTGGCAATGGAAGGGTAGGAGGGAAGCAGTGAGGAAATTAAGAATAGCCTTTGCAGTTGCTACATACACATTGTTTCTCAATTAATTAATGATAGAATTGATGAGAACACTATTGTTCAGGCAATTGTTTCTCAATTTTGGCTACAAGTGAGTGTACTGTAAAGAACTAGGGTATGCCCCAGTTGAATACATGTAATTGCCCCTTAAGTGGGGACTTCTGGGAATGGAAGAACTTGCACATTTCCCAAGAAGAAGAAGAAGAAGAAGAAGAAGAAGAAGAAGTTACTAATTAATTTAAAATGCAAAAATTCCAACAGCAGAAATAATTTGCACCATCAAGAATATTTTAAAAACTCAAATGCACATACTAAAAACCAACCCCATTTAGCTGAGTTTAATTCACAATTAAAAATCTTTTACCCTCCATTTTATCTAGCCTAAAGGACATAAAAAAATACTTTGAGATACTTTTTTCAGCATGAATGTATGATTTCAATGGAAGGCAATTAACACGAACATAAACAAGTCAGTATGTTAACATACCAGGTGTCCTGTTGACATCATGTCTACTCCGCTTCTTTCCATATTCTCCACTACGTTCCTCCCCATATTCCCTACGTGCTTCCCTTCCATAATCAGATCTCTCTCTCACATCTTTTTCTTCACGTCTACCATCCCTGAAATCTGCTCTTTCAGTATTATGACCACCTCTCTGCCTCTCATGCCTACGAGAACTCCGATCAGAAGAAGTATGAACCTTCAATCCAAAGAAAATTAAGTATTAAGTATTAATAATGCCTCTATGTTCCCAAAACTAATAACAACAGCACTGCAAATGGTAAAATATTAACTTACATCTGAACCAACATCTATACTTGAGTGATGACTTCTGAATGCATCACCACCTCGAATTTCAGCAACAGAAATCTCTGTAAAATTTGGGTAACAAAAATTCAGTTGGATAATTAAAACCAACAAATCTAGTTTTAAAAAGAGTATTAAGATGCATCTTTGCAAAAAAATAAAAAAAGAAGGAACTTTAAAGAATGTCAAGCAACTGAATCATAAGACCTCAGTCACTCACTGAATGTACAATTCATGTTAATAAGAAGAGTACAAGAAAAAAAAAAAAAAGAAAACATCAAAACAACTACGGAACCTGATTTTCAGGCAGGTTTGGAGGCAGGTGATGACTAACCTGAATATACAGAGAACCCTTAAGGCATGGACTAGTGAATGGCAATGGTTTATTGCAGTATGTAAAGGAAGGAATGGACAAGCCCAAAGTCTCAGAATTGCTCTAGCTGCTACAGTTTATAACATCTGGAAGCAGAGGAATGCTAGGATTTTTAGAAATTATGTCAGTACTGATTAGAGTACAGTGGCCAGGATTATGCAACACCTTTGGCTGGTACCTAGTCGAGTTATGTGATTAGTTTAGTCTTAGTTAAGATTTGACATGTTATAAGGGTATGGCTTGTATTTCTGCCAGGTATGCCTAATTATCCTATGCAATACCCAGTTGGGACTGGATAAATAAAATTACTTATCCATTTCCCCCAAAAAAACCTATGGAGCCTGAACTTTCAAACTTTAGAAGTCCACACATGAAACCTTGAGAATTCACCACTAAATTTTGATACAGGGAGTTCAAATTTACACCCCAATTAATTATCAAATTTAGAAGTAACATTTACTGAAAGGAAGAAGAAAATCTTCTATAATCAGTATATAACAGCTTAACCACCTATGTTGCTTATCTCCTTATGATTCTACTTGGGAGTCACACCAAGTGGAAAAATCCCACAATGCGAGTTAAGGGAAACCTGTGGACTTACACAATGTCAACTACTTCATCTATTGCCAATTGATTTTGGGTTAGATGTTTATAGGAGTTTTAGCTAAAGTGGATTCTTTTTCTTTGATAAAATTATTAGCAAACAGTTTTTTCTCCTGTTGATGTTGATAAATGGTGGTTTGAAACTTGAAAGCTTCTCTTTGGAAGAGGCATGGGCTACAATTAGCATCAACTTAAAATCATGAAAAGCAAATGGCCAAACAACACAAGGTAAAAAAGGAAACAAAAAAAAAAAAGCGAAAAAAACTTATTTACCTGAAAATGTTTCCACACTTGCTGGCTTTTCACGGTACTGCCTGCTAGCATGACTACGCATGCCATTTCTAGCATCCCTCCTTGCCTCATCAATTCCAGAAGAATCAATCTTTTCATCCTCATCCATAGATGCTGCAATGGATGCAACTCTTTCTCGTGGGACCTTGAATCCACCATCAACCTTAGAACCTTCCCTCTTTTCATTAGCACGGACATCTAAACCTGATTTAATGCTAAAATTCAATTAGTTTTAAATAAAAGGCAAATTGATATTTGAGTAATATACATTGAATCACTGAAACAGAAGCAGTCTTAAGCCAATAATGCGATGCAATGATTATGATTAGGAAAAAAAAAAAAGGACCCAAGCAAGATAAAGCAAAACATAAATAGTACTACAGTAACAAAGGGGCAACCAAGATAAAAAAAAAGTAGCTCAATGCATCCTATTGTCTAGGATTATTAGCTTTTCCTCAAGTCGACTCAGCTTGAGAATGGAGACGAATTGAAGATAAATACTAAGGCTTATTTAAGGGTACTCTCACAATTAACTTAAAATCAAATAATCCTAGGAAGAAAAAACAACATATTATTGGGTCTTTGAAAAAAAGACGCAAACTTTACCTAGAAGAGATTTCTTCTGCGGAGCAATATATCTGGGTTTATCCTTAGGAACATATAACCCACCACTGTTGTCCGCCTCAGGTTCCAATGTCTCTACTGTCTTGTCTATGTCAATGAAACCAGCAGCAGCACCTCCTTGTTTCTAAACATTAAAAAAAAGAAGTAAAAAGAGATGAAAATAAAATCCACAAGTAGAAAAATATATAGATACCCATTTTGTGTATAATAGATACGAACCTCCATGTGAAGGGGCCAAAATTCCGAAGACACTTTAAACTTTGCAAAATGTTACCTGCATAAAATTTTGAAGAATGAAATTCAATCATTGTCTAGGTTAAATACTTCTGATACACTAATTTAAAACTGAAACCCAGAAGACTTCTGAATTTTAGATTTGAACGTACCTGGAACCGGAAAGGGGGGAATATCGAGGATTCAGGGAGGTTGTTACGAGATTAAGGTAGGTGTGAAGGGAGGCGATGCAAAGAAGAACCAACGTAGAGTGTCAAGGATTGCGATTTGCGAGCGTGGAGCCATGGAGGAGAGGAGAGGGGAGATTAACCTACGTATCTGTTAGTAGGATGTTTTCATTTTCCTTTTATTTTCTAAACACATGCGCCGTCTTTTAGTCGGCTAATAAAAGGGTTAATTAAAAAAAAAAAAAAGATTAGTTGGTTAATAAAAGGTTAATTAAAAAAAAAAGAAAAGAAAATACTATAGTTATATTATTGGTATTATAAATTTATAATACATGTCTTTATATAAGTAATGTTTTATTTAAAAATTTATTTATAATATTATATATATGTGATTATGTAACTAATACTTTTTATTAAAAAATTCATTTATAATGTTATATTAATTATTTTATTTTACATTACACAATAAAAATAATTCTCTATTATCACTTGACGCATCTCATTTATATATCATATAATTTGAATTTAAAATTTTTCACTTTTAATTGGTGACATAGTTAAAAATTCTTTTTAAGAGCCAAATAAATTTTTGAGAAAAAAAGAATGCAATTTTGCATTAATTAAGAAGTCAATAAAAGAGAAAATTTTAATAAAAAATTATTTTAAATTAAGATTTGTTAGGTTTTATCTATAAACTAATATTAATTGATGTCAACGACCTGAATAACTCGGTGATTATCTCTTTCTGCTAGAAATAAAAAATTTTGAGTTTGAATTGCATGGTACGCAGGTAGGGTGAGATAAGGGATATGAAATAGTTACTTCATTGTGCAATCAAGATAAAAAAATATTAATTGAGGGTATGCTATTATAAATATGACATCAATTGAAAGATAAAATAAACATATATTAAATAGAAGAACACTAATAAACAAAAAACAAAAGTAGAAGGGTATTAATGAAAAAAAAAAAGATAATAATAAATAACTACTTTATAAAAAGATAATATTAAACAACTTTATATTTAATTATTCCTTTTTTTATATATTTTATTTTATCTTTATTCTCTTCATTTTTCTCATAACCACTAAAACTAATCTTTAGAAAAACAAGGTTTAAAAAAAATTAAAATGTATGTAATAATAAAAAAGGAATAAAATAGTACAAATATAATTTAAGAGACTAAAGTTTTTATTTTTCAAAAGTTTGGGGGCATGTACCCCTCAGCCCCCTTGTCTTTGCCTATGCTTCTTACATGAAGAAAATTATTATTAAATTATTTAATTCATTTATATTATATACATTTATTCATTTATTCATTTAATATTATGTTATATTCTTATCACATAGGATTGTAAGTGTATAGTATTGTAAGTTTATAATCCTAGTTGCAATTGTCACTAGTGCATTGTTGAAAAAAAAAGGATTAAGAGATTTTGCTGCTTAAGTGAGTCAAGATTTGAATCTGTTGAGACCAAAATGGTAGGTTCGACTTTTATTACTAGCAATTCTAGAATAAATCAATAATTAAGGGCTGAACATTTGATATAGATATATGTAATACAAGTTAACACAATATATAGTATGAAAAGTAGGTTTTGTTTGACAATGGTGTGTTCTGTTGTTATGTAACTATAATTGTCAATGGTGTTATGTCGTGTTACCACAAAAAGCATTTTAATGTTTGGTAATTATATTTCAAAAAAGCTATGTATTGTAAAATTACTCAATTAAACACATTATTAATTAAACTTAAATTAATTAATAATTTAATATGTAATATATAGTTTTTAATCAGTGTTGTCAAAAGCGGTCGCTTCATTGTTTAAAGCGACGAAGCGAAGCGATCAGAAGCACCACCGCTTCAAAATTTCTAAAGCGCTTTATGTTGTACTTATGATTTTGATGATTACAAAACATATTTAAGTGACTAATTGATTTATTTAAGTGTGTAGTTAAATTGCCAATATATTGCAAAGTAAGCAAAATGAGATTGCATTAAAAATGGCTCAAAGGGTAAAAATATGCAGAGAGTCGGCTTAAAAAAATTGCAGTCGGCTCTAGGAAGCAAAAATGTAGAGAGCCAGCTGCAGATTTTGTTGAGTCGGCTTTACAGGCCAGAAATTCAACTGCTGTTTTGACGCGTGCAGAAAATGGAAGTAGAACCGGCTCCCACTTTGTAGCCGGCTGTGAGGGTGCATTTATTACACAATGGTCGAGTTATTTGAAGATTATTTAATATATTTAAAGTTGGAATCCTAAAGCCGGCTCTAGGCTTTGCAGCCGGCTGTGAAAGAAAATAGAATGTGTAGGAATCTCGTAAAACCGGTTGCAAAAATGGTGAGCCGGCTATATAGAGTCGACTCTAGGAAGTTGAGCCGACTCTCTTGACAATCCTACAACTCGAGCCTTGCGTCTTGTAGGGCATTTAATGACCCTCAACGGCTAGAAACGGCTATATTCGAGCAAGGGACTGTAAATATGGTTGGTAACAGATCTGAAGAAGTTTGGAGAGCATTATATTGAATATCTTTACCTACCAACTTGTGCTTTAACTAGAGATTTTGATCTTTGAGAGATCCTTGTTTGTAATCCTCTTCTTGTATTATTAGTGAGTGATCTTGGGGGTGTGTTGATTCCTTTAAGAGTGATCTGTAGAGAGGATCTTTGGGGTTTAAGTGTAAAGGGGTGAGATTTGAGAGAAACACCCTTCTTCTTGTAAAGGATTGAGTGGCTCCTTTAAGCCACCATTGTTTTTGTTAGTGGAGAGTGTGGAGGAAATCCTTGGTGAGTGAAGCCAAGGTAGAGGACTAGACTCCAAGTGGTTGGACCGAACCTCTATAAAATCATTGTGCAAGCTCTTCTTCTCCACTCTCTCTTTAATTTTTGTTTGGTGATTGCAAAGAGGTGAAAATTCTCCAACTCCAATTTACCCCCCCTCTTAGAGTGCATTGAGTCAACACTTTACTTAAAAGAAGCAGTCCTAAAGCGATTGGAGCGAAGTGAAGTGATAAAAGCGCTTTGACGTTGAAGTGACCGCTTCTTTAAAATGACACAAAATGACAAAAAAGTATAGAAGCATTAAGGGTTTAAATTGGAACTTTGACTCCAATTAGGGCAAAAACAAGAAGCTATATGCTTGCTAACTACCTTTTGCCCTAATTTTCTTTGTGATTCCATTGTCTTTTGACTTCATCATCTTCCTGAGACCTAACTTCATCAATTCATCTGCCATTTACAAGAAAGTCCCTTCTTGTTTTTTATTTTTTTTATTTTTTTAAATGCATATTCTTTTTCCCGTCTCTTCTTCTTCCCTAACTTTTTTACATATTCTCCTCTTTCTTTCTTTCTTTTCTTCTTTTCTTTTTTTATCAGTAAATTATCTTAATTTAGTTAAGATAAAGTTTCATGTAAATATTAACAGAATTGTCTAGCATTGTCTTAATTCTACATTTCCGCTTTATCCCTTCTTTATCTTTGAGCTTTATTTCTTGTCAATAAACTTATAGCATTCAGATCTATCTAGTCTAGTGGACCTTGATTAAGAAACTTAATATCATCTACATAGTGTAGATTGAAATAGTTAGTTTTTCACTTTATAAGACTTCTGAATTTTAATTCCAAAACAGAATTTAGTTCTAGTTGCACTAAGTAAAGTAAAATTTAATTTAAACTTATCACTTGCACCTTCTTCTACCTTTCTACTCTTAATACTCTTAAGTTTTTATTCTAATTAGTTCTATTTTGTTTAATAATTGATCACTTCAAAGTATTACTTGCTTCACTTCAAAGAAGCGATTGCTTTACTTCTCGCTTCATCGCTTTAGCATTTTTTAGGCCATCGCTTTGCCGCACTTTTTGCCTTTAACAACATTGGTTTTAATTAATTAAATTGAAAGTAATTTATCTTTAATTAATTTTGTTATAACAAAACTAATGGCATTAAATTCAAAAGAAAAGCTTACTCACATGAAAAAAATAGGATCTCCTATAACAATTCTCTCCCTTTTACCCAACTAATTACACTGTCTAAAAAATTTTCATCTAAAGAAACCTCTTATAATTATCAAACCTAGGAAGTGAGGATAGTTTGAGAGTAGATGGAATTTATAAGGAAAATGATAGGGGTAAAAAGTAATTGTAGTTGAATCAAAGTTTGTCGTAGATAAGAACACAAGATTCAGAAGAAACTGGTGTTCTTATGTAATTGTAATTGTTTGATATGAGCAAATTCTATATTATGAGTGGAAAAAAATATGATTGATAATGGTATTTTGGAAAATCTATTAATTTTGGATAAGGTGGCTTTTGTATTGCTTTCTGAAAAAATTGATGTGGATAATTTACTAAACTCAAAAGTTACAAAAAGCACTATAGTTATGTGCAAAAAGTATTGTAACTAATGTTGTTAAACAAAGTCATAATTAATAATTTTAGTTAACACTACATTTACACATAGTACTTGTTATACCCATACCTAAGTCCTACATGGATTAGGAGATGCAAACCTATGTTGAACAAACCTCTACAAGATGGACCTTCACTAGACAAACCTCCATAAGATGAACTTTTAGTAGATAGATCTATGCTAGACAAACCTTCACTGACTTGGCTATAAATTTTTAGAATCCTATAAAAAATAAAAGACTAAGTTCATTGAATTAGAAGACATTATCACACTTGAACTCTATTGTAATATATTATAAATACTCTTGTATAGATGTAGGAAAGATATCTTCTCTCTCATTCAACCATTGTAGCTCTTTTTCATCAATAAAGTTCTCAATTCCCTCTATTTTTTAGTGTTAACATTAGGCACCCATCGTGGGGATGAGTTCTTTGTTGCTTGCAAATATTATATGAATATGGCAAATCATGGGAATGAAACAAGTTTAGAAGGTAGAACTAGGTCTTCATCATTGCGAACCAATATAGAAGTTGTGCCAAACAAATCTCAATAGGATAGGCAATGACAAACTGCATTGGAAGGGTGAATTAATAAGCTTGTAAAGGATGTAACACAGACTCAAAGTACTTTGAAGAGTATTTAAGCAAGTTGTGACAACATTAATGATAATCCTGAACCTATAGGTACAAAATCTTGTACATGGGAATTAAACTCGACGATAACCATCAAGATATTCCCCATCTTGAGCAAAAGGAGCACAATGGTGTTTGGTTACAATGCAAGACCCTATGTGTAGAGGTGGCAAAATCGCACCCGACCCTAGTCCAATCGATAAAATGCGGATTAGGGTCAAGTAGTATTGGACTCGTGACCTGTTTGGGTTAATCCAAATGGATCACAAGTCAAACATAGGTCAACCTGCGAGTTCATAAGTTGACCCATTTGTTTTTAAAATTTTAAGGAATATATTTTTATAAGATAAGTTTTTAAGGCAAAATAACTAACAAATATAATTTAAAAGAAATCTAATATGATGGTAATCATTACAATTTATAAAACTTTTTAAATGAAGTTAATTATATTCATTTAAAATTTATAAATTAAATGTTGTATACTATATATGATTATCGATAAAAAAAATTAAATGAATTATTCAAAATGTTCCAAAAAAAAAGTCATTTTACTTAAACTAATCAAATAAAGAGAAGAAAAATTATTAAAAAATAATCATATCAAAGTTATTATAATTTAATTTTAATAAATTAGTATTAAAAATATGAATAATTATATAAAATAATAAAAGAGTTCAACGTGCGGGTCAACTCATGACCGATTAGGGTCGAGTTAGACTTAATACTTGTTAACTTGTAACTTACATATGACCCAACTCGTAAAACTCGTAACTCAAGTAAATTCAACTTGAACCTGACTCAACCCGTCCATTTGCCACCTCCACCTATGTGTAAGGGTGAAAAACATGATAGTGGTGAAGATGTGAGTTATGTGCCATCTCGACCTATGGTAGAAACTTGTAGAAAATTACTTAGAACCTTCAATATGTTATAGGATATAACCTCCACCTGCATAGTGGGCTAAGCATTTCTCGTGTAAGTGCAAAATTGTTACCATCAAGTGCTGCATCAGCTTTAAAATATCTGTGGCATGCGCAAGAAGTTATCTAAACTCGTATTGATCTGGTTTATATAGAAATTACTGAGATGCATCAACAAATCACAAGAATGGACCAAAACCTGCAAAAGTCCCATGCGTAACTTCAATGGAGAAAGCATTTGCAAATGAAATTATATAGAAGCCTATGCCAATGAACTTTAAAACTCCACAGCTTGAAACTTATATAAAAAATGAAAATCAAAATGCAAAAATTTCTTAGATTAAATTTATATTTATATATCTATATTTATTTATATATTATATAAAATGCTACGCCTAAATACAAATTAGTAACTAAAATTTTTCATTTTTATTTTAATTATAAAAAGTATATTTTGTTAAAAATAAAAGAGAAGATATATTATTTTTATAATAAAATTTAATAAATATACGTATTAATAATATTAGTTTTAATTTTTTATCTTCTTATATTCTTCTCTTCCACTTCCTCTTGTTTTTTTAATATTCTCAATTATTATCATTATTAGCTTTCATTATATATATAATAAATGAATTAAACCAGAAAATGAATAGATGCCTAATTTTTATGAAAAATAAAAAATATAATTACAATTTCATTCATTATCATTTATAACACTTTCATTCATTATTTATTTTTATCATTTTTAATTTTTTTCCCCTCATGCACTTTCTTTTTCTTTTTTTTTTTTCTTTTTTTCCGTAAAAAATGTGCATGAGGAAGTGAAATCTTAAAAAAGCTTGACAAAGAGAAGAAGAATTTTGCATGAATTTTGTTTGATTTTACTTCATATAGAATTATTTTTTTACTTTATCAAGAAGAATATTTTTTTAAAAAAATTATGGAATATATATATATATATATATAGTTTTTGAATGTAGATGTACAAAAGAATGTCATAATAAGAAGACATGAGAAGACCTAATAGAATGGGATTATGAGGATGCAAAATAAGTTTTTTGATGAATAAATTGAAAATATGAGAAATTTGAGAGATAACTATATTAGTTTATCAATTTTCATAAATATCAAAACCATTTAAATAAATTTTGATTCTTTTCTCTCTTTTTCTTTTTTTTTTTGGGATTACATATGTATGCTTTATTTTTATTTTTTGTAACACATTTTGAAATTGGTGTTTAATAACAACAACAACAACAACAACAACAACAACAACAACAACAACAACAACAACATTAACAATAATAAAAATTTATATCATATATCTATATATATATTTATATATAAAATGTTACCTTATGCATTAAATATCTAAAGCTATCATTGTACTCTCTTCATTAAATGGGAGTAACATGCATTTTTATTCAAATATTTAATGCATATTAAACCAATATATTCATTATTATTTTCTATTACATGTACATTAAGGGCCTGTTTGGTACAACGGTTAAAATTCAACGGATAGCGGGTAGCGGGTAGCGGGTGGCGGTTAGCGGATAGTGGATGACAGATAGCGGAAAGTGGGTAGCGGATGGTAAATAGCGGATTCGATAAATATAACTATTTGGTTATACAATAGTTAGCGGTTGTTGTTTAACATCAAATGACTAATAAGAACATGTTTAAAAACAAAAAA